TATCCTCTGGGTGCCGGCAGACATGATACTGCATTCCTACACAGCAGCAGCTAATTTACTTCACCGTCTACTGCCAAAAGGCAATTAGCTGTTGCTGTGTAGCAATGCAGTACCATGTCTGCCAGCACCCAGATAGCCGATGACGGCTACCAGTCTTACTTCACCGTCTACTGCCAAAAGGCAGACTGGTAGCAGTCATCGGCTATCTGGGTGCTGGCAGACATGGTACTGCATTGCTACACAGCAACAGCTAATTGCCTTTTGGCAGTAGACGGTGAAGTAAATTAGCTGCTGCTGTGTAGGAATGCAGTATCATGTCTGCCGGCACCCAGAGGATATATGGTGACGGTGAGCTGAGCTGAGGGAGCTCCATGCTTGCCGTGGTATGTTGTCTGCACAGGTAACCCAGGTAAAAAGATGCGAATCGATTGTCTGCCGTTGCTCTGACTGAGGGAGAGGAGCCTGACGACATGTACCCAGAACCCCCTGCGACACTGTTTTTGCATCATCAGGCATTGGGATCTCAACCCAGAATTCCAATGGGCGGCGGAGACTGCGGGAACTGTGGGATAGCTACCCACAGTGCAAGGCTCCGGAAGTCGACGCTAGCCTCAGTACTGTGGATGCGGTCCACCGACTTAATGCACTTAGAGCATTTTATGTGGGGACACACACAATCGACTGTATAAAACAGATTTCTATAAAACCAGCTTCTATAAATTCGACCTAATTTCGTAGTGTAGACATACCCATAGTCAGTTTTTTTGCTAGTAGCAACGTACCACAACTGACACAAAAATTAAGATCTACTCCTCTCACGCCTGCCCCTTACATGCAAGAAATTCCCTTTATATAGTCCCACTTGCTTAACCAAGATTTCAGGTATGTATGGACTTACCATTTGGTTGCTGAGCAAAAGCAGTCTGTTGTGGGAAAGCTCCCTGGGTTGGGAAGGCAGGCTGCTGGAAATTGCCACTGAAGCTAGTAGGAAGACTGTAGGATGCAGGAGTTCCAAATCCTGCAGGCATGCTCATGGATGCTGTGCCAAATGTTGCCGCTGGCAAGGGAAGTAGCATTCAATTTACAAGTAATTTCTTATACAAAATTTACTACCATGCCACTCTAAAAAGAATCTTACTAGCTTCGTAATACACACTCAACTGCCAGTGGATGGATTAGTCTCCGCTTCCAGTAACACTAAATTAATTTGCTCACTAGAAATTAAATAAAATACATGCAAGATAAAAATTTTAAGCTAAATTGCAAGTAGAACACTGTCAAGTTGGCTAGGTCCAACTTTTCTGATTACATTAGTATCTGTAAAGTCCATGGAATTCTTTTCCATGTTTTACTTCTACTCAAGTGCCTCCAAAAGTTATTTCTGGTAAAGAGTTAATGTGGAGGCCAGAACTTACAGGCAACACCAAAAAAACAGCATGTATGTTCAATGGAAGAAAATGTTAAGTCTGAAAAAATTTCAGTTTATAATTTCCAAGGTGAAATTATAAACCAATGAAAAAGTTGTAAAATCAATCTTCGTGTTTTTAAAATAACTTCCTACCATGCACAGACTTGTATACAAAATTCCTAGCACAGAATTCCTTAGTTTAAGATTGAGATAGTGCTTTAAAAAAAAATCTCATCTGCCTCACTGTTACTGAACATTCCAGGTAGAACAAACCTGCAGTATTTATGCAACCCAGGCATGTCTTCAAAGAAATGTTGATTAAGAGCAGCACAGTATGACTAGCAACAAAACCATTATTAAATCCTTCGGGGTTTACTGCGATTAATATTAAACAGCACACAAAGCTTTTTGGTATGAACATAAATGTTAGGCATTTCTGCAGCATTTTTGCTCTAATTCAGCATTAAGTGTAACCATTCTTTTAATGTGTTAAAATTTTAATTTGACTTTCTTTGGTATAAAATTTGCACAAATTGAATTCCAAATCAACATATTTGATTAACTGAAAGGTAAACTATTGTCAGGAAAGGAATGGTGAGAGTTTATATATTTAAGTAACCATTAAAACGAAATAAGACAAAGTATGGGATATAAAGTAAACAGATAATTGATACAGTACATACAAAGAATGCATTGACATTACTTTCACAAATTACCATCAACAGAAGAGGCTATTTAATAATGAACAGCTTGACAAAACAGCAAACCCAAACACACTGACAAATTGTGCAATGGTTTGGGATATCCAAAAGGTATCAAACTTACTATAAGCAAGCAAAGAATTTGCTTAAATAAGTTGTAAGCATCTACTAACGTGACCATGGAGGTAAGCAATAATTACTTAATTGCTTGATGCAAATAAAAAATTATACTAAGACAAAGATAATTTTTTCCAAGTGCCCCACATCCATGCTCACTCCATTTTAAAATATGGAAAACAGCCTACTCAAAATTTACATGCAGAAAACCAGGAAGCTGGCAATAAGCTTTCACAAGCAAGTAAACAATTAGCCACACGAAACTCAGATATCAAATGTGGCCACCTACCAAAATGAGCCTGAGGAAATATGTGAGAGTGCATTGCTCCCGAGAGGCCTTATGGAAAGCCACAAAAAGACCAATGTCAAATGATTTATAGATTTCCGAACAGTCATTTTTATACAACTATTTTACATGACAAAAAGTGCAGTGAGTAAGAGCTTTTTTAAAACCTGTACAAATTTTCTAACAACTAAACTTTGGGATTTATCAAGTGTACTGCAGACCAATTGGTAAATTATAGGTGTTACCTGAAATAATTATGCTAAAGTCAAAGGCTTTTTTCTAAAATACACTATAAAGTTTATACCAAACCCATTTACACTGCATGCAAGATGCAAACATAGCATAAAGCTAAATTATAAGCAATTACACTTATCAAGTTTGCAGAAAGGAACTTGAGACAGGAAATATTAATTACAATATCCTATCAGATACTTAACTGAAGTACAGTAAAACTTGTTGATGCCCAAACACTTTTTCAAAGGACAGCATGTTTTTGGAAGTAAGGGAACTCAGAAGTGGTTGACTAGAATTTGTTTTAAAGGGATAATCTTATAAAAAAAAAAAAAACCACACACCTTCACACTTGGGGCTTGTCTACACATCCCTGCAGTTCAGCCTAAGGGGGGAGTGAATAGCAGTGCACACCAAAGCGCTGAACTGTAACTCAGTGTGTGGATGTGAACTAAAGTTACTACTTCACATAACATAATCCTCTTCAAACAGGGTTATATTAAATGTAAACTAGGAGCCTTCTAGTTCACATCTGCAGCATCCATACAGGGGAGTTACAGCACAACTCACATCCGCACAGTTCAAACTGCAGGCGCGTAGGCATATCCTAGGTCACTATCTGGCAGAGACCTTCTGAAGGTAATTCCAACAGCCTCTTTAAAGCTATAATTTTTTAAGGATACAAAAGAATGACAGGAATTTTTAAAGATAGTCCAAAGTGGTAAAGATCGTAATACTGGGATGGCATTAAATAAAGGAGAGATTTTGGTTGCATACCGAAGGTTTTAATCAAACAGTAGAGTCTATTAAATGGCAGAATAGCCACAGTTGCCACATGGGGCTAATCCTAAAATTCAGCATTGCAGATAAAGAATTAAGCATAGAATAAAGTATTATACTAGTAGTAGAGTCTAAACCAGGAGCATTGTATTGTAAGAAGGAACATTAAGCTGATTTTTCAATTTATAAATTAAACTATTAAACTGTTTCAGAATTGTGCTCCATTAATTCAAGCTATCATTTAAAAGGATTTCTCACCCTAATGGTAGGGAAGGAAAAACCTGAAAACGTGAATGGATGTGGGGTTTGTCTTTGAGGGTGCAAAGAATGATAAAAGCGAGCATTGCTCCATTTATTTAAATAGGCTATAAATTCTGACAGCGACAGTGCAAATGTCACAGTAAACTGTTTCAAATACTTAAATATCCAACAAGTGTTCATATCTCAATCCCACTCTGCCTTCCATGGTGGATAGTTTAGTATAAAAACAAACATCATAGGGCCTACTGTACTGCTTCCATTATTAATTTTTTATATTTTTATTCTAAATGAAACTGCTGCAGAATTTCCAAAGTGCAACAGAATTTATATTCTGCAGCTAGCTGCAGCTAAGACGCCCTACAGATACTGCCTTTCATTGCTGAGTATCCCAAAGTGCTTTTCAAACTCTATAAATAAATTGTTACAGCCAACACTAACACAATCACACCTAGCATGTAACAGCAACAAGTAGTACACAGCAGGTTTAAAACAATACAGCAGGTCAATGCTGTAGCCAATTAAAATTGGAGGGGGAATTTAGAGAAAGAAAAATTACTAGAGCTGGTTGGAAAAATTTCAAATGGAACATTCTTACACCAGAAAATGGCAAATCGTTGAAACTGAAATGTTCCATGAGACCATGGCAATAGAAATGGAAGCCAGGCAGTTTAAAAAAAACCTACCTAGCCTGGTTTCCTGCCAGTCACCTACCAGCCTCCTTTGCAGTCCTGGTTCCTGGCTCCTTAGCACCCTGTCTGATGGGGAGCCAGAAGCCAAGTTCACAGCTCTTGGAAGCTCTGGTTTCAATGGCTTCCAGAGTCTGTGGCACTGGGGCAGCCCTCCAGGTATCTGCCCCACAGCTGAGACTCCCAGAATTTCCAGGCTCCCCACAAGGCAGGTTGCCTGGAGGCTTGGGGAATGTTTTGAAACGGTCAAAATGAAATGTCATCCTCAACTTAAATACCTGTTTGACAATTTGGCTATATATGTCTTATTTAAATATTGTGCTCTTTTACTTAAAAACAGAGTGCAGAATTTTACATTGACTTGTGCACGATCTATTTTCAGTCACTTGCTAAAAATAAAGTTATGAAACTACAAATATGACGTTTTGAAATTAAGTGTATGCTCTTGCATAGCATATAAAACTGTACAGTGCAATTTTATTTTTCTAACCTGTTGCTCCTCGACTATTGGTCTGGAACGGGTTTGTTGAAGGTGCCACTGGAACGACAGGAGCAGCTACAAATGGATTTGTGGAAGGTGCTGCTGAAAGATTAAGAACAATTAAAAAAAATGTATACAGTGCTGTGTTGATTTGCATTTGTTCTACACATCCTTCACAAAGTCAAAGACAGTCAGAAATAACTTTACATAAGAGGTTTTTCCATACCTTTTCTGTGTTGGGTACTACAGGAGATTTTTATATATAAGTTTTTTTTAAAAAAACACAAACACTGATATTTTAGACTACTTACATCATATTGCCTGCACTGGCAACAGTGTAGGTCATCATTTCTAATGACAGTGAAGTCATTAGTACTACTATACAATGGGACACTGAACTAAAATTTAGTAATATGTTTGCTTACAGTCTGCATAAACATTAGTCAGATTTTAATATACCTCCAAATGAAGCAGGCACACTTGAAGATGCAGGCTGTGTCTGTACAGTAGCAGCCACTGGTACTGTTCCAAAAGCATTGCTGTAAATAATTCACATTCAGTGAAGTCAGTGTTGCTCCTTTAACAATTAACATCTACGATTAATTTTTGCAGATAAAAGCAAAGTAGAAAAGGGATATTTAGGCACAGATCTGAAAATGCTATATAATCCATTAGTGCCAGGAGTTGAATTCTTGATGCCAAGGTCAAAGGCTAAATACATTAGCGCTGAGCAATGGCAAATCCTGTCCGCCAGTGGCAAAGTGTAGAAGTATGGACAATGAGGAGAAAAAGAAATAGGCATAGGTTGCCAAGCAAAAGCTTTAGGGAAATTTGCATTTCCAAGCAAAAAAAGTTACTACAGGTGCTTGCTTTTAATTACTTAAAAAAAAAAAAAAAAAGAAGACGTACATTGCAAATGTCTCACTTTTCAAAACCAATCTCTTACCAATTATGAGGCTATACGCTTAAATATGCATGTAATCCACATGGAGGATTGTTATCCTCCAACAGAATTTAGTGTGTGAAGTCTAGGAAGGTGTAAAAGTGTTTCACTGATAAACACTTGCTTCAGTTTCATTTTACAACCTCTAGCGGGCACTACAACCACAACTACCGTTAAGAAATGATGCAGTTTTAATAAGGACAGTGAAGTCAACACCCAACTAACTCCTCTTCAGAATTATTTCCCTACAATTTTTAAATCGTGACCTAAACAAAGAAGAACAGTTGAATACAAGCAGGTTTTTTTTAAAACTTTATCAACACTACCATAGGGCTATTTTTCTGCCTATAAATACAGTTGGTTTAGGGCTAATTACTTTAACTTCTAACAAGAAAAAGTACCTGCTAACATTACTGGTGGAAGTATATGCATTACTAGAGGTTGCTGTGGAGCTGAACACACTGTCTAATTCTGCTAGAGCTGCATACTTGTCTGAAGATGCACTTGGCTGACTTGGGGCTGACACAGCAGGACCTGACGGTGCTGTAACTACAGTGCCGAAGCCACTTCCTTGCTCACTACCACCTAGAAAAGAAGATACCATATTGAAATTTAAAATGACACTTCTAAAACCATGTTTTCCCTATAATCTTCACCATACGAACAGAAAATGTTAATTAACTGTTCTCCCATCATTTAAGACTAAAATTAAACAATAAGACTTAATGCTGCCCTAATACAGGGCTAATAAACTATGGCTCCCAATCTCTATCTTTATAAGCACACGGTACCATGCTTCAATGAGTCTATAGCTCCAGCTTCCTAGTTTCCACAGATCGCATTATTAAGTGAAGTACACTGCTCTCTCTTGCTCCAGTTAGAAAGATGGATTTCTTTTAAACCTTGTTGTGTGTGACTCATCCTTAGAATGCAGCTTTGAAATTTAGATGGAGACTGAAATTTTTTTACATTTAGAAAGCAACAAGGCATAAGAAATCTAACAATTAAGTTACAGAATGATAGACTCTTAACTATTACCTCAAAGTATAATCCTGCAGAAACTCACACTTCCAGGTTCTTGTGACTCTGAACCATATGCTGGGGAGTATTCCCAAACCTCATGTACGGTACCTCCCACTAAAGACTGAATTCATGAGCCATGCAGTGAGTGTCACAAAAGCCATATCATATCTTCCAAATGGTGGCTAATTTTCATTTATGCCCTAAGTGGGTAATTACACTCCAAATCCTGAAAAGATGCTAAATAAATAATACAGATCCAGTGTATCAAATTCAGGATAACAAAACGATAGGTAACAGTATAGAATTGTCTTGTTTCCAAGGATATCTGTTCTCAGCAGATTTCCACTGAGAGGAAAACTCCAGAGATTTTACAAGCACCAGTGTATGGCATTTTGTAACCAAGAAGTCTAAACAGTCAACAAAAACTGGAAGTGTGCAACAGTGTAGAGAGGTGCACTGAATAACACCACCTACTTTTTGGAATATGGAAGAATATGAACAAAAAAATTGACAAAGGAGAGTAATTTAAGGATATTTTGTAGGTAAAAATGTAAGAAGAGTAGTATGTCACCTCATGATACCCTTAAGTAAGTTTCACTGAGCCAATGTAGTCTGTCCAGCAAATATGCACCAAAGCACGCAGGAGCAATAAAAAAAATTGGACAACTTGTGATTAAAAGTACAGTATTTTTGAATATCTGGTTATCTTATCCCTCCATAAACACTGCCAGGTCAATGGCAATACAAACAACACTGACGACTCTTGATTGTGCTCCTCGTAGTCCTGTTGTATATTTGTGTTGAACACATATATAACAGCAATGTTTGTTAGAATGGGTGCAAGCTTCAGCTTTAAACAAAACTTCGCTGCAGACTTAGTTATGGAGTAGCCAGTGTCTACTCGACAATTAGAATAATGGCTCATCTTAAGAGTCAGTCACCCACTGCCCTCCTCAAGCCCACACAACTTTAAGGGAAAGAATATTAACAAAGCCATATACTGTATCAGTTTTGCTTAGGAGCTGATATACATGACTTATTTACCATTGTTGTATGCTGGACTGAATCCAACTTAAACTCCAATGAAATTCATGTTACCGTCCTTGTTCAATATATGGTTAACTTAGTGTGCATGGAAAACCAACCCGTTAAACACTAGCAGTTTTAATCTCCTTTAACAGAGAAAGGCTAACCAAGCTTTACATTAGATGAACATCTAAAAAAAAAACCTATCATGGTGGCTTTTGATTGTAAAGATAAAAATTATCTTAGACCGCAACTGGTGTGATTGAATGAATAAAGTCGCCCACTCCAGCAATATACAGAAACCTGAACAATGTACTACTAGAATACTCATCACTAACAAACCATTTTGTTGCCAAAATGAAAAAACTTTTGAGCGATTGCTCATAAAAAAAAGCATGATCTTTTTGATAAGTGCTATTTTGCAAATGACTGCATAGATTAAAGCATTTGCTTTGTTACAAGAAGCAGCACAGCAACGTAGGAGTTTAAAATGTGCAGGTGTGAAGTTAATCAGAATTTTCTGAAGAGACAATTTAAAGCATGCTTAAAATGGTTGGTTACCATTTTGACAGGCACAGGCATCCTCACAAGGAATAAAAATGAAGGATAACAGGTCAAAGAAAAAAACTTAATACCTTGCCCTGTGCTGAAGATATTATCTAAATTAGCAAGAGCTGCATATTTGTCTGCTGACTGGAGATTCGGTTTATTCACTGCAACTTTACTGGCAGCAGTTGCCGTTGTGTTGCTCTGAGAAGCATTGAAGGCTCCAAAATCAGCACTGGAGGATTTGGGGAAGTTATCAAAGTGAGCAAACTTAGCATTCATTGATCCAGCACTTCCACCTGTAACAAAATAAGTTAAACATGGATACTTTAAAGGTATAGGAAAGTCTCTCCAAATGCTCTTGGTGGCAATATCATCCCACCTCTTGGTGGTTACACCAGGCAGTAACATCACTTTTGTTTTTTATCCCACAGGCTAACTAAAACCCCTCTAACACACTTAAAATTAATCTTGAATCATCAGAATGAGCACATTTATATCTGTAAACTTCTAAATCTGAAGAAAACTCTGAAAGTTCAATAGCTTGCACACACCGTAATTAGCTCTCGCAAAACTATGTTTCAGTGCAACATCATTAAGTCAACTCAAATACCACATATTTAGCTAGAAAATTTTTGAGTTAAATTAGCTTTAATTTTATAAATCCAAAATACAGCTTTTCCTGCTGCAAGAATTCAGCGACGTAAGTAGGAGTTGTTTTATTTTCCTCAATGGTACAATATGCTTGACTATTTCAGATATCAGTAACCAGTGCAGGCAAAAAAGGTTAGTCTGAAAGTCCAGAGGTAGCACAATGGGATACCAGGCCAAGGTTCAGAGAGACTAACTCAGTCCTTTACTCCCAGATGTCATGGCTACACCTAGACAGACAGACAACACAGCCTTTGGGAGGGGAGATAAAGAAAAAACAGAAGGGATTTGAGAGCCCTCCTTTCAAGGAAAAAAAAATTCTTCCTAGCATACACATTACGTATACTAAAGTAAATGAATCAATCTATTAGGATTTATATAAACACTCTGCTGATCCCAAATATAGGAATCAGTTTGGAAGCTCCAGCTTTTTAATGTGTGCAACAAATTTTATGTTTAAATCTCTACAAAGGTATTAATTTATGAGTTTCCAGATCTTCATTGTAGACAGAGGATTCTGTTAATATGTGCAAGTCAGATTTACATTTTAGTTGAATAGAAAAAGGGGTGGGTGCGTGCATGCATACATGTGTACACGCACGTACACTTGGTTGAGGGCTCAGCCCATATTAACTACTATTAATAAACCATTAGCAATTTGATAATTTTAAACGCAAGCACAGACATAAGCAAAGACAGGTGAAAATATATGTAAGGGTGGAACTAAAACATAACACAATGGCATACAAAACAAAATAAACTAAGTTTCCTACTCAATGAAACTTACTGTGTACAGCCTGGAGAGGGAAAGCTGAAGTAAATTCACCAAAACTGCAGCTAGATGAAAGCGTTCTGAACGCTGGATAGCCAGAAATTGTGTGAGGGGGATTAAAGTTAACAAAAGAAGGGAGGGGAAAAAAATTTTAAAAAGAAAGTTTAAATGACACCACATTCAAAAGGAAAAGAAGTCAGCCAAAGATTAGACAAACAGCAACTGTCAGCCCAAAAGTTTTAAAGTATGATCAAATTAACAAGAAAAGCAAAAGAAGAATTTAGCAATAGGCCTTACACATGAAATCTTCTGATAACTGAGTGCCTAACATGCATCTGTATGGTAAATACATTCAATAATTGTACTACTGTGGTCTGGATTTATCCATCTTTACTGAAATCTTCTCTTGGAAGATGGAAATCACAGATGTAATCTCCTTTAGATAAATGTGGTCTGATATTTAGAAGTACCAATATAGTTACATTCAGTAAGCTTACAAATATTTCATGTGTAGGGCTAATTATAAGCGACAATGTCAAATTAGGAGGCTTCCCAAAAGTGCCAGAAAACAGTAAAAAAAAAAAAACACCATACCAAATAACCAAACAGAAAAAGGCATTCATTTCAGGTTTCCCCAGAGCTTCAGATTATGATTATGTTAAAGCAGGCAGATGCAGGAAGTAAACTGAAGTACTTTCTCACTTGTATGTCTGGACTATGTTGTATTAAAAATTAATCAGAAATGCTAGTAGTCTACCTGTATTTTGGGGCTGAAAAGGAGACTGACTTGCTGTGGGGAAACCTCCAAAATTACTCGAACCACTAGACTGTCCAAATGCATCAAAGTTTGCAAAACCTGCATTTGCAGAGTTCTGTGCTGTAAATTGTAAAGGAACAAAACATGTTAATGGACATGAAAAACAAAAACACATATGTATTAACTGAAGTAAGTTATGGTTATGTTGGTCTGAGTGTGATGTCCTACCTCAAGCACAATTTTTCTCTTTTTTTATAAATGAAGCATCACATTCTTATCTAAAGTATAATACATGTCCTACGGATTAAATTAATCTTCAAAATTTATTTTAAGCCTTTCATATTTGCCTTCATAGGTCTGTATCAATAAATTCCCCACTCGTTTTTCCATAGTTCATTTCTGTTAAAGCATGAGTGATATGCCATTACCCACAGTAACTGCAAGACCTCAATAAAAGATAAATCTGCACTGTAATCGAAAGTGTAATTGCAGCGAACGGTGACATACCCAGGTTAGCTTTAATCTAACTAGCATGGCTTGCAATGAAGCTTCAGCATGGGCTAGGAATACTTGTAAGGTTTGAGATGAAGCCAATACTATGTTGCTTCACTGCTATTTTTAAATACGCTAGAAAATACAGATTACAGCTAGCATGGGCATGCCAACTCAAACCACAATCATGCTTTTGATTGCAGTGTAGACATACAGTGTGAGATTCATTTTAAAACCTACAGTACTAGCAAAGAAAGCTCTGAAGACAGAACACCAAATTTGTAACTGGTAAAAGAGTCAAACAAGATTTTATCTTTCCAAACACTGTTTTCCAGTGAAATGCCAATCAGTCTGGTAGGCTATTCGACTCCTACAAGTCTGGTTTGGAAATGTGAAATATGTTCTACTTCTAGTATGTCTTTTTACAGCATTTCAAAATGTCAAGCATTTATATATGAAATACAACATTGTTAGAGGGAATTTAATTTGTCACTACTTAGTTTGTTTTGGATACATACTATTTAGAAGCAGCAAAGAGTCCTGTGGCACCTTATAGACTACCAGAATACATACTGTTTAGAAGTCAACCTGTCAAAGCATTCAGAGCACTATGTAATTAAAATGCAATAAAAAAAAAATCACATAACAGAACACGAAGCCAAACCAAGCAGTGAAATACTAAAAATGCCTTCTTTTGCAGAAGAGCATTTATATTGATTTGACCTTTTTAGTTTTTGTTGGGGTTTTTTTGCCCCTAGATCCAGATATTGAGAATACTGGACCATTAACAAAAATTGCACACCCAATCAACATTAGGAGTGAAAAGAGAACCTGCAAAGGAAGGAAATTTAGAATCGACACCCACTCTGCCCTCAACCCTTCCCCCTTCGTGTCATGACATTGCAGGTAACTGACATAAGATAGTGGCTGAGGGAGTCTGGCTCAATTACCAATGAAAGTCAATATAAATTGAGTGTCCAACTCATTGGCCCCTTTGAAAATTCTAGCCACTATTTACATGCTACACTATGCAAGCAATAATGAATAGAGGGGAATCCCTGCACATGAATCTCTCTATTTTAAAATGACTTACCTTTTTATTTTTTATTTATTTTAAGTTGCTCTAAAACCCCTCAATATAATGTGATTTTCCATTGGCATAATAGAATTGGGAATGGATTATTTGGAGGTACAGTAGTATTATCCGGTCAGTGCTTTCAATGTGCCTGGAGCAAGTTTTTACAACCAAGTTATAAACCCCAGGAAACAATAAGCTCTAATAGAAACGCTGATGCCTAAAGTACAGTTGTTGTGACAATTCTGGCTACGAAAATAAAGAATTATCTTACAAAGTATAAGAATTATAACACAAACATCTACAGTGCATATTTAAAAACTGAAGGGAAGGAGTATGTAAATAAAAAACTGCAGTTGTTGAACACTCGTGACATTTTTTGCAGCATGGACTTCTTCTGAAGAGGATGTCTGTCACCCCTCCTGACAAGAATCTTGTGACGCATTGCCACATCTTCCTTGAAAGAAAAATACTGTTACTAAATTGTTTAGTAACTGTTTTGCTTTGAAATGCGTTGTTCATGTCCATTCCACTCTTGGTGTCCGTGCACGGCCGTTGGAAACTTTTTCCCTCAGCAGTATCCGCTGAGTGGCTTGAGCGCCCGTTGCTGCCACACACCACTGTATGCAGGTATAAAAGGGAAGAACCACTGCTAGCTCCACTCAGTTCATTCTGGCTAGAACTCCAATGTAGTGGGGCAGAAGGGTGGATCATGGAATGGACATGTGCAATGTATCTTTAAGAACAAGCTTAGCAACAGATTTTTCTTCTTTGAATGATTGCACATGTGCATTCCACTCTTGTTTTTGTGGCTTGAGAGTCACCAAGAGGTGGAATCTGAATCTATTTAAATAAAGATTGGAGAATTCCTCATCCAACTTTAGCCTTGTCTCTCGAGTTTTGAGCAACAGCATAAATGGGAGGCAAATGTGTGGACTGAAGAGGAAGTTGCCACTCTACAAACATCTACAACCAGAAACTGTGTCAGAAACACCATTGAAGCACGTTGATCTTGTCAAATGAGCTGTGACTGATGAGTGGGGTGACATTAGCCGGGTCATAGCACATGCGTATAAGAGTCAATCCAAGAAAAGATGTTTTGAACAGAGACTGGTTGCCCTTTTATTCTGTCTGACACCACTACAAATAGTTGGTAGGACTTATTGAAATGCCTGGTCCTATGCAAATAGAATACCAGAGCTCTTCTGATGTCCAAGGTATGTAAACGTTCCTCCTTCCCTGTTTGAATGTGGCTTCTGGAAGAATGCAGGCAAACAAATGGACTGGTTGATATGGAAACACACACCACTTTTGGAATGAACCTGGGGTGAGAATGCAAATAAACCATATCCTTAAAGACTATTATATAGGGAGGCCCAGACATTAAGGCACATAGTTCTCCTACCCTTTTGGCCAAAGTGATGGCCACTGAATATATCATCTTCACTGGCAGAGGCAGCAGAGAGAAAGTAGCGAAAGGTTCAAATGCCAGACCCATAAGACTGGACAAACACCAAGTTTAGGTCCATGGGGAAATACCATCTTGTACCTGAGGACACAACTTGCTAGGCCCTTCAAAAAACCTTGTAGACAGGTCATTAGAGAAAATAGTGATTATCTTCTTTAGGGTGGAATGCTGAAATAGTTCCATCAGAGTACATCTGGCAGCTAACAGCCAAACCTTGGTGTTTCCGATGCAATAATTAGTCCAGAATACATTGAACCAAAGAACAGGACAGCGATACCCCACACTGGCAAGAACAAATGGAAAAATGCCTCCCTTTAAGAGGTAAGTAGCTCTTGTAGAAAACTTTCTACTATTTAGAACAGGGGTTCTCAGACTTTTGTATTGTGACCCCTTTCACACAGCAAGCCTCTGATTGGAACCCCCCCCCCTATGCATTGAAAACACTTTTATATATATTTAACACCATTATAAATGCTGGAGGCAAAGCAGGGTTTGGGGTGGATGGTGACAGCTCACGACCCCCCATGTAATAACCTCCTGACCCCCAGTTTGAGACCCCCTGAACCTCTTTCAAGCAAGATCACTCTCTAATATCTAGCACCTTAGAATCCATGCAGTTGGAGTAGGCGCTCATGACCTTGAGAGATTAGGTCTCAGTTTAGTGGAAGTGAGATTGGAGGTTTCACTGACACCGCCAAGAGAGTGGAGAACCAGAGTTCATGGGCTCAAGCTGAAGCCATGAGCATGACTCTGTCTTGATCACATCTTATCTTTAGTAATACCCTGTGAATGAGTGGGATTGGGGGAAAAGTGTAAAGGGGCCAGCCTGACCACGGCAGCAAAAACGGTGTCTGTCAGGGAACTTGGGCTACAATCTAGTAGCTGACACTTTGTTGATCCTTGTCACAAATAGGTCTACTTGGGGAAACCCCACCAATGGAAGATTTATCTAGACGAAGAGATCACTCAGTCTCATAAGCAAACTGATCAGATGGTCTGCTAGATCATTTTGGACCCCCCAAAATAAGAAACTTTAGATCTATCAAGCTAATAACGCAAAGCTCCCAGAGCAGAGCTGCCTCTTGATGGAGTGGAAAACAGTTGGCTCCTCCCTGCTTGAGACAGAACATTACCGCTGTATTGTCTGTAAGGACTAACAGACTCTTTCCCTGATGTGCGAGAAACATCTGGCACTACAGTCTGATAGTTTTACACATCAATGGCAGAGCTGAAAGCTAAGTCTTTTGAGGACCAGAGACCCTGAGTTTGCAGAGAACCCAGATGGATTCCCCATCCCAAGCAGACGCATCCATCACTAGCATAAGCATCAGCTGAAGGCAGGCAAATGGAACACCTACACATATATTGGCTGAACCTGTCCACCAATCGAGGGAAGCAAGAACATAAGACATTCTCATCACCAAGTCTAGCTGATGGAGGCTTAGTGAGTAGATGGATGCCAACCTACTCAGAGGAATTCTGGAGTGCAGTCTGGCATATTGAACTACATACAGGCAGGAGGCCATATGCCCCAGGAGCCTCAAACAGTTTTGTGCTGTTGTGACTGGGTGATGTTGCCTACCTATAATAATTGATTGAATTGTCTGAAACAAAGTCCAGCATGACTCCTATAAACTCTATCCTCTGGACCAGGGAGAGGAGAGACTTCTCTGCATTGACTAGCAGTCTCTCAGCATTGAACATTGACTGGATCAGGCACACATTGCGCTGTACCTGCAGTTGAGAAGCTTGTCATCCAGATTTACCCCTACTTTCAACTCCTGATGTTCTAATGAATGCAGCTACTACTGACATAACTTTTGTAAAGATCCTGAGAGCTGCTAATAGGCCAAATGGTAGTACAGTGAACCGATAATTGTGACACTGGTAAATGAGGCGCTACCTCTTACCAAATCTGCCCAGCTGACTCCTACATTGAAAAATTCATAGCTGGAAAACAGACCAGCTCACGTGTGTTTGTATTGCTCAAGATAGGTGCTAGACTTGTAAGACTGTGTTTAGACTCTATAAAATGCTGGTAAGTTGCTGCACACATTCTTACTTGTAATGTCTGTATCCCATGCT